GCCGCGTGTCCGGCTGGGGCACGACGTCCAGCCCCATCGGTGAGGACTCCTGCCCCCTGGAAAGGAGCGAGCTGGGGGCCGGGGGCTGGGCTCCAGGTCCGAGGGAGGAGGCAGGGGGCCCCCACATTCCAGGGTGCCTGGTGGAGGGTAGACCCCAAGTCCTGACCACTCAGTGCCTCCCCAGCCAGGTACCCCAACTCTCTGCAGTGCGTGAACATCAGCATCACCTCCCGTCAGCAATGTCAGCAGGCCTACTCCGGCGCCATCACCAACGGCATGGTCTGCGCGGGAACCCCGGAAGGCGGGAAGGACTCTTGTCAGGTGAGGCCCAGGGTGAGAGCCGGAGGAAGTGGGGGGATGGGTCGGGGCCAGGACTTCAATGCAAAAGGACCTCAGGAGCATCCAAGACCTTGAGCGATTAGAATAGCCAGGCGGCCTCCCAGCTGTGAGCTGTGGGAACGGACCTACACCGCTTAGAGCAGTTGGCGGATCCGACGAGATGGTCCATGGAAAGAGCGCGGAGCGGTGCCTGCACGCAGCTCTGATCGCTGCTGTCCTTGTCCTGACCGTGCACCTGGGAATCTGTGCTCAGGGCCTCCGGGCATCTTACTCCATCCCTGGGAGATGGCTCCAGAGTCGGGGGGCCGGGGGGTGTGATGAGCCACACACAGTTTTCTAGAGACACAGCTAAGAGGAAGGGGGGCTCCGTGAGGCCCCGAGACAGCAGGGACCAAAGAGGGAAGGAAGGGACCCAACCCTGGGGCTGATGTCTGCAGTCTTTCCACCCCACCCCTCCCAGGTATCAGCCATGTGCCTCCCCATCTCCGCCTTTTGGCTTCTCTATGCACATGGCTCTGTCCATATGCTCACGGGTGTCTCCGTTGGGGTCTCTCGCCCTCAGGGAGACTCCGGAGGACCCCTGGTGTGCCACGGGAAACTCCAGGGCCTGGTGTCCTGGGGGATGGAGCGCTGTGCCCTGCCTGGCTACCCCGGAGTCTACACCAACCTCTGCAAGTACTACGACTGGATCCAGCAAACAATTCTGGGCGCGTGATCACCAGTGTGAGGGAATATGGATGCCCATCTGCTGCCCAGACCTGCTCTCTCCACTCAAGAACAGTGGCTCGTCTCCCAGACCCAGGAGTCCAGGCCCCCAGGCCTCACCACAACATGAGGAACTGGATTAAAGGGTCGCGCCCTCCTCCCTCAGACCCAGGAGTCCAGGCCCCCAGGCCCCTCCTCCTTCAGACCCAGGGGTCCAGGCCCCCAGCCCCTCCTCCCTCAGACCCAGGCATTATTCTATTTATTGGGAGTTCAGGCCCCCAGCATCCTGGTCCTAACCCCTGGCTCAGAACTTCCCTCTCCCAGAGGGTCCCTCAGATGTTCTCTCCCCACCCCCACAGCATCATCATCCTTAGACACAGAGGCGGGAGCATGAAGGCACCAAACTTGGCAACATATTCCGAAGAAGACAGTTTTCAAAACGCTTAGCGTCTCTGTAAACCAGATGAATAATAATAAAAATGGAATAATCCTAGATTCCGTTCATCTGTTCATGTAATTCATCCGACTTACGTGCACACAGCAGCTCCCCTGTGCACAGCGAGGCCGTGTCTGACTGGCTGAATGGGTCGCCTGTTGTCCCTGGGTGTTCCCTGGGAGTCTACCACACCCCCCTCCACTGGGATGGTGTGAAGAAGGAGCCCCCCCCCCCCAGCTCTGCAGTGTCACCCTGAGCAGGACCGCCCCTCCCTGGCCTCTGGGCTGGGTCCTGTGAGCGGGGACTGCTGAGTCCAGGGCAGGGAGGGCAAAGATGTACTGTGTTTCCTGGAAAACCCTATGCAAATGAGCAGTCTTTTTCCTAATCAGATCTCCGGTGAAGAGAGTCGAGTTAATCACACTTTGAAGTTCAAGTCCTGGCAGGGCCCGGCTCTCAGCAGCTGTATTGGTGTATTTCCACCTGTCAGCCCTGGCCTAGGTCTCCTCCCTCCCCAGCGGCACCGACGCAGATGGCCTCAGATGCCAGTGCACTGTTGCTTCTAACTTACGGGAAACCATCGTGTTATGAATTTCATCTTCTTTCTTACTTTCATTCATCGACAGCTGTTTTGGGGGGCACCTACTATGCGCCAGACATTGGTCTACTTCTCTGGCTCCTACTGTGTGCCAGGCAGTGGTCTACTATTAGATACCTACTGTGTGTCAGACATTGGCTTATTATTGGGCATCTACTATGTGCCAGACATTATTCTATTTAGTGCGCCCCTACTGTGTACCAGGCACTGGTCTACTGATTAGGTACCGACTGTGTACCAGGCATTGATCTACTGACTAGGCACCTACTGTGTGCCAGGCATTGGTCTACTATTAGACACCTCCTGTGTGCTAGAAGGTGGAGCTGTGAATAAGTCAGACAAACCTAAATGCTTCTTCTCACAGAGCTTACCTCCTAGCAGGAGATGACAGACAAGAAACGAGAAACTTAATTTAAAAGTGAGGGAGAGAGTCCGGGTGAGTAAGAAGGTCGATAAACGCGGGCTGGGCAGCAGACCCAGTGTGTGCCAGAGCCAGCTCACAACCAGCCCAGAAGAGCCCATTGGCAAAATTTCAGGAATTTTGAGAGCGGGTTGCTAAACACAGCCATTGTTAAAAATTAAATTGCATAAACTTACAATTAAACGAAGGTATGTTTAAAACAAAATCCAGTCCGGCCGGAGTGGCTCAGTTGGTTGAGCGTTGTCCTGTGCACCGAAAAGTTGCCAATTTGATTCCCAATCAGGACACATTCCTGGGTTGGGGGTTCGCTCCCCAGGGACATGTACAAAAGGTAACTAATAGATGTTTCTCTCTCTCTCCTTTCCTCTCTCTAAGCATGTTCTCGGGTGAGGATTAAAAAAATGAAATAAATAAAGCTGAAAGAGTATCTTTAAAAAAACACTCAAAACGAATCAATTCCTAATTATGTTTACCAATATTCATGCTTTGACGTTATTTATGTCTATCACATTACATCTGGTGATAGTGGGCTTCTGAGTATCTTTTTTTAAAAATATATTTTTATTGATTTTAGAGAGAAAAGGAGAGGGAGAGAGAGATAGAAACATCAATGATGAGAGAAAATCATTTATCGGCTGCCTCCTGTACGCCCCCTACTGGGGATCAAGCCCACAACCCGGGCATGTGCCCTGATCGGGAATCAAACTGTGACCTCCTGGTTCATAGGTCGATGCTCAACCACTGAGCCATGCTGGCCGGGTTGAGCATATTTTTTTCTGATTCAGTGTCAAGCGACTTTGCAATGGTAGGTTGATACCAACTGAAGGGGCAGTATTTACACTATAGAAATTGGCAAATGGGGCAGATCAGAGAGCTGTTAACCCCTCACCCACACACTACTGGACAGGTCAGCCTGGGAGCAACCTGCTGATCTTGGTGTCTGTCTTCTCATGTACACAGTTCAGAGTGGAACACAGTGTGGCTTCATCAGTGCCCACGTGCTGTGCTGAGGGAACAGCACAGAATCAGAGAGTTCTGAGCTGGCAGCTCTGGGACCTGTGTGACCACAGCAGCTCAGAAGATTTCTGGGAAATGTCCTGGCCAAGTTGCTCAGAGCATCATCCGGATACACTGAGGTTGGGGGTTCAATCCCCAGACAGGGCACACACAGGAATCAATCAGTGAGTGCATAAGTGGGTGGAGCAATCTCTCTCTCTCTCTCCTCTCTCTCTCTCTCTCTCTCTCTCTCTCTCTCTCTCTC